TGAAAATAAACCATTTTTACTTTTATTTCAGAGTTGACTGAAGAAAGTGAGGAGAATGAAGAATTGAGTGAAGTTGAGGGAAAACATCTCTTCAGAACTGGAAAAAAACCTTTGAGTTGCTCTCAAACGCAGAAAGATTTAAAGAAAAGAAGAGTGAAGAAATCTTTCACCTGCACTCAGTGTGGAAAGAGATTGACATGCAAACATCATCTTGAGCTTCACATGAGAGTTCACACTGGAGAGAAACCATACGCTTGTGATCAGTGCGGGAAGAGTTTCACACGATCATCAACCCTTAATTATCACATGAACATCCACACTAGAGAGAAACTGTACGCATGTGATAAGTGCGGAAAGAGTTTTAGAAAAAAAGGAGACCTTACATCACACATGAGAGTTCATACTCGAGAGAAACCGTACGCATGTGATCAGTGCAGCAAAACATTTTTGAGAGCTTCAGACCTGAAGCGGCACCTGAGGGTTCATACAAAGGAAAAGCCACATTCATGTTATTTGTGTGGAAAGAGTTTTTCATGTTTACAATATTTGAAAGACCATCAGAAAATACATACTGCTGTGAGAGAGTACATGTGCTTTGAGTGTGAAAAGACTTTTACTACAGCGAGCCATTTAAAACTGCATGAGAGGATTCACACTGGAGAGAAACCTTACAAGTGTTCACACTGTGACAAGAGATTCAGTCAGTCAGGAGCCCTGAAAACACATGAGAGGATCCACACTGGAGAGAAACCGTATCACTGCACTGCATGTGGGAAGCGTTTCAATCAATCTTCTAATCTAGACAGACATACAAAAAACAATCACAGTAAGTAGATCATCTTCAGATCTTTCTTTCTGCTTACTCTTTTATTAAGGAAAGCAGACATTTTTACAAACTGTTCTTGTACAGGAAGCTGAAGAAGAGACTGTAACACATTTAAGAGAGACTGAGATTTATTTTTTATTCTGTTCTTCATTGTGTAAGGCCTCTGCGGAACAGATCCATTTAAGCAACACACGGTTAAGTGCTACCTCGTGGACACTATGCATAAATTCATAGTAGAAGCCCGAAAACAGGAAAAGGCAAATTTACAAAACACTCTCCAGGCCTGCAAACACCCAAGATCCATACAGCGTGACTCCTCGTGACCCCCGAGGGCAGGGGTCTGCAACCTTCAACATCAAAAGAGCCATTTCAGACCCTTTCCCACCGGATAAAACTCTTGCACTTTAGGGCTGTGCGATTCATTTTATTTTCGATATTTAGTTTGTCTAAAATGGCCAGGCTCCTTGGGGTTTTCCATTTTTGGAACTGGAACAACACCGGAAGTCTTCCACAGGACCAGAACTCTTTCCAGACGAAGGCTCAAGTTAACTACATGCAGAACTACCTCACTGAGCTGATCTGCACAGTCTTTAAGCAATCTCCAGGTGATACCATCCGGACCTGTGGCTTTCCTTGCCTTGATCTTCCTTAACTCCTTCCTCACTTGATCTACTGTGAAAAACATATTAGCGGAAGTTGAAGTAATTGGTGATCCTCGCTGAGGATGACGGAAGGATGGCTATGAATCCTGTGTACGTATGTAATGAGTAGCAGTGGGGCAATGAGAGCAAGATGATGTGTGTGTTCAATAGTCACTGCTGTGTGTTAAGCAGATCCTTTGCCAAAAAGGGAAAGAAAGAAAGAAACATAAATATTTAAACTTCATTACAAGCCATACAATCTAAAGTCAAATTGTGAAAATAATTTACTGAAACTCTGGAATTTTCCATAATAAAAGGCAAAAAATATATTACTGCATGCACCCAAGTGTGAAAAAACAGGAGCAATTCAACAGATTGAAGGTGATAATGTCTGTC